TCTGGATCATCTGCCAAGAACGTATATGAACAGGTCCCAGTCCGAGAAAAGGATGGAAGGATCCTGTTCATATGGACCTGTCGTCAGACAGAACACTAAATAAAATAAAATAACCTTACATTACATTGCATTACCTTACATTACATTCATCTACCACAGACCCATCTGAAGCCTTCCTAATTCAAGTTAAATAAGCAATGTCTTAATCAAACTTTACTCAATTGTAAAGCAGGTATAAAGGAAATATTTAGAATAAAGCCAATATATAAACTTCTTTTCCGTATAGACGTATTTACGTCAAATTCTCCGGAACCGTGGTTCCACTGACAACATTTTCCCCTTCCAAACGAACTGAGGACCATCAAAATCAAGTATGTCGAACTTCCTCTCATCAGAGAATAAAACTTTTTTTTCTAGAAGTCGATGTACGAATTCCAGTTGTTTCTTCCTGTTTCGTTCATTGATAAAGAATTGTATTGCAGCTCTTCCTTTGTAATTGCTGTCATGGAGGCGATTCCGAATGTTCTGAACGCTGACGTGTTTACCAATTACTGTAGCGTGGTCTTCTCCCACTTTTAGAGCATTTGTTTTGGGGTTTCCAGACACTTGTTGAATGATATTTCGGAAATCTCTTGTAACTACACCCCGAGTCGGCCTGATCGCGTATTATTTTCTATCGAATTATTGTCTTAAATTTTTAATTACGCATTGTGCGGTAGAAAATTATAAAATAAGGCGATTTCCAATTTTACGGCAACTTAAATCCTGTTTAAATAACGAAACTATCCGTTCTTTGCAAGGAAGAGAGAGTTCTTTAGTTCTGCGACCCATCTTAACAGCGGATATGCTTGCAACTGATTATTTTTTATTTACAGGCAAGGTAACAAAGGCAAATGTTGGTTTGATGTTTAGGGATTAATATTGACTAGCATTTAGATTGGGAAGCTGAAGTTTGTAAGCATATCTTGTGTATTTATTTTTTACTTCGAAATTAAGATATTTTTTTTTCTGTTTACTCCAAGGTGTATTGTTAGAAATGTTTAGACTATATACAGGGTGATTCTAAAAGGACTTTACAACTTTGAAAGTGTCTACCAATTAAATCTGAAAGCTTACAGAATCGGTTGAGGTGTCATTTTGTAGCAAAACAAATCAGGTTTGACTCACGTTGTGCTGTAGTACCGAATTCCGTCACCGCGAGCGCAAACGGCAGTGCATTTCAAAATGGCTACTTTCACAGGTGCGGAGCGCGCTCGCTGTGTGCTGTGGTTTGAAGAAACGAAATCTGCGACAATGGTTCAACGAAATTTTCGCACCCAGTATGGCAAGGATCCTCCCAGTAGACCTACAATTTACTCTTGGCACAAGAATTTTGTTGAGACTGGTTGTTCTGTTCGCCGTGACAAATCTCCAGGTCGCCGCGTGTTTCTGATGCAGTCGTGGAACGAGTCAGAGAGAGCTTTGTCCGTAGTCCTGCGAAGTCAACGCGACGTGCGTCTCGTGAGACTGGCATTCCACAACCGACCGTTTGGCGCGTGTTACGAAAACGTTTGCACTTAAAACCATACTGATTTACCATTGTGCAAGAAATTACTGACGAAGATAAAGTGGCTCGTCAGGAATTCTGTGCAGAAATGTTGCATCGGATACTAGAAGACGAAACATTACTGGACTACATAATATTTAGTGATTAATTGACATTTCATGTCAGTGGTAAGGTGAACATCTGCAACTGCAGGATTAGCGGCAGCGAAAATCCACGTGCATCTCTGGAACATGTTCGTGACAGCCCAAAGGTGAATGTGTTTTGTGCCCTTAGCAAAGTTAAAGTGTACGGCCCGTTCTTTTTCCATGAGAGAACCATCTACGGTATCGTGTATCTGGATATGCTCGAAAATTTTCTCATACCACAGTTAGACGAAGATGACCAAAAAGGACGCATTCACTTCCAGCAAGACGGCGCACCACCTCACTACCTCATAGGAGTCCGGGATTTCCTCAATAACTGTTTCCCAGGTCGGTGGATTGGTCGAACAGGGCCGATAGCATGGCCACTTCGTTCTCCAGACTTGACACCTCTCGATTTTTTCTTATGGGGTTTCATTAATACCGTGTGTTTTTTCCACCCTTACCTGCCAATCTCACTGAGTTCAAAGCTCGAATCACTGCAGCATGTTTCTGAAATGATACCGGATATGCTGGATCGTGTTTGGCAAGAAATTGATTTCAGGTGGGATGTCTGCCGTATCACCAATGGCAATCACATCGAACCAAAATGACTATTTGAGGTAAAACGTGATTTGTGTTGCTACAAAATGACACCTCAAGCGATTCTGTAAGCCTTCTGAATGAATTTATATATACTTTCAAAGTTGTAAAGTACTTTTAGAATCACCCTGTATTATTATAAATTTATTATCAGAAATTAATTATACCTAAAATAAATGTTATAAGGAATAAGAAGAAAGTAAAACATGGTGTATGAATATCTTTTTTACGTACTGTATTTTCTTTGAGGTAGCAGCGTAGAATTAATGGTTGACATTGTGCGTCAAGATGAAGTGATCTCTCAGGAGCCATAAACTGTTTTGAAGCGCGTGTTGCACCATCTACTGGCGTGGATTGATCAACTTGACTCCATTTGGTTTGAATGTGATGATACATACGTGAGGCTGTCCCACCAAAAACACATTCCAGGTACAATATTGTGTACGGATCCTTGGGGTCTGCTACAACCGCGGTGCAATTTCCCTGCTACCCGAGGGACGTCGTTTACGACCCGTGCTAAGAAACAGAAACGAATGAAAGGCTGCAGAAACAGATGTATTCCCTGGCGTTGTTACCCATCTGCATTTATAAGTAGCCTACCATCTATTTAGGATTCTTCCTTCAGATGGCATTGTCAATTGTCTTGCATGTAGAAATAATGTATGAGACGTTTCGGAAATTCTTCACTCCTGTCTTCAGCTGATTGGATATCATACTGACGTAAAAATCTGTTCTTTATTCTATGCTGGCGTATTAATTTCAGTACTCTTAATCGAACCTGGGCTTAAATCATTGATCAGCTTGATTTGGTGGTAATGATTCGGGTTTGAATTCTGGAGAAACGTGATCAGTACTGGCTGCCTTCATTTAGATGCCGTGTTTTTTCCACATTCTCCGGACGAATTACGGGAAAGTTTTTTTTAATAAAAATTATTAAAACACCTCGGCTTTCTTGTAACAGACAAATTCATGACGGAATTATATGTTGTGTCTCCACCTTTTTATTTGGAGTTGTTATTCCCGGAGCTTGTTAATGTGATATGTGCTTGTTCGTTAAACCACCCGCCTTCGGTCCTCGCGCAGACATTTCAGTGAAATGTTTTTGTGCAGCGGCGATGCGTCTGCACGGTCTGACTTGTCTCCATTGTGTCTGTCTGTCTGTTTTCATTTGCACGCCTTTGTCCGTCACCGGCTTTCATCTCCCAAACAAATTCAATGGATTTGAATTAAATGTGAGTCTGCTGCATGAATCTGTCTTGATCTTCTTGAATTCAGACCACATTTTTTTCACCGGTTCTTCACTACCCATGTTGATATTGCCCCAGTGCACTTCTGTGTCTCTACCCCTAGCTTTCAGGTAAAATGTTATGTAAGCATATCACATCGCTTCAATGAGTGCTACATTCATAGAGTATCTCATCCTCCTTCATTTGATCCTTGTAACTGTACTCAGTGCTGAATACGCATCACCATACTCCACGGCTCAGCGTATCAGAAAACAGTAATCTTAATTCAAGCGCGTTATTACATTGTAGCCTGCATGGGAGGAATGCACTGCATGTCGGAAAATCTGAAGGCAACTGGCCTCTTGGAAAATCTAAGCCAAAGATGGATCTCAAAGAAATTGGGTTTGAGAATGTAGACTATTCACTTGACTCTGGATAGTTTCCAGTGGTGGGTCCTTCTAAATATGACAGTAAATTGTAATCAACGTTTGGGTTCCTCGCAAAACTCGGTTATTTGTGAGATAGAGGTCGTGCGAGTAGTAGTGGTACCTAAATGCGCGATGTGTAAGCCGAGAGAGGGGAGTTCAGTAGTAGTGGGGGGTCGCACAGTCTCAGCTGCGTTGACGCACCGAACTAAACACAGCTAGAGCTACAATCCAACTGAAGCCGACACCCCTCTAGCGCGTGCTTCGGACGAGTCCATCTCATACGACCAAAATCAATCCTTTGCGCATGTGACAGCACTTCTCGCGCGACCTCTAACTTTGAGGCCGATGCAGACTTCCCACCGCTCAGTTCTATTCTCTCTCTTCATGTCGTCCATCTACGTAGAACAATGGTGAGCGCTTCCTGATGGGATGATCCCAGTTTCCTTTCCCCTCTCCTCCACCTGTGTTCTCATCGCATTCCTACCTTCATGTCTTATTGAAAGGATGCGGACGGTAACAAGAAAGGATAGTAGGCACAATATGACAATATCTGACCTGCGAAACATGTACTATATCCGGCTTACATCAAACCGATGGGTACCATGATTTTGTCCTCGAGGGTAAAGCAGAGGTGGCCTAATTTTATTAATGGACTCTTAGATCTCTTCTTGCGTAGGTAATAACACGACAGAAGTAACACAATACATTTTTCCTTGTCCTTCTTTCTGTTTAAAGCATGTCGAATATATTTTGAATATGAGTTGTAGATTTTAATGGGAATCACATTTTAATTTAACTACCATTTCTATGCGGTAAATTTTTTGTTGTTGAGAAAATCGATTTTAGCTTGGTGTAAAATGGTGAAACGATTGAAACATACATTAAATTTACTGGACAAATTTTAAATTGTAGATCTTTAATAGCAATTTTATTAGAAATTCATTGAATGTTTTCGGAGATTAAATAAATGGATGGTCAGACCCAAGAAGGATATCTCCCTATCATGCGTTATATTTATATAATGCATTCTATGAACACTTAACGGCATTGCATTTGGTTCCGTAACAGTGTTGTTTGTTTCAGGTTGCTGTTTTGTGACTTTCTTCACGAGAAAATCGGCGCTTGACGCTCAGAATGCCCTTCACAATATCAAAACACTGGCGGGGGTAAGTACGAAGCAAGAGACAATGCCACATTGGCCGCATTACTTTAAGTTACTTTCCTTATCGCACGATGAAATCGTCTCACTGCCTAGTTTTTTTTTGTTAGGTGGTTTAAACTACAAGATCGATTACGAAAGCAAATTTTCAATTTTGAAAAGTGAAGTTCGGTTTGTATACAGGTTTTAGATAAATCTGCGACCTGTTCTCGGCATATATTAAGGGTATAAATTTGCGTGTCTGTAAACGATGTGCGTTTCGCCATAAACTGGAACGTCCTGTCGTGATAAAGTGTGGAATAGCTGGCGTATCTTCTCTTGTAATGATTAACAGGTACTCGTCCAGTCTGCGCCCACTGAAGTGCCTTCCTCGAGGATTCCTGGCCAGAGTTTTTACTCATGAAGTCTCGATTCGAGTCCATGTGACGATGTCAAAATTATTCGAAATTTATGATAATGTTGTAATTGAGATTGGAGGTGAATCCCAAACGTATTTCCTCCTAGATAAAAGTGATAAAGAGTGTCTCGTTTCATGTTAATTTATAGTACTCACTTATGATATTTTATTTTTTCAAGCTTGTTCAGGCAGCTGCCCGCTAGATTTTCATTGCGGAGGCATTGGTTTAAATTTAATTGGAATATGTTTCTGTCCAAATCATTCGTTTTTCTGATGGCTAATCACCATTCTACCGTTGCGCCATACTCGTCTATCACTGCCCCACGAGGTGTGCTATATAGTCCTTGCCTAACATCACATTTATCATTGATAATTTTGCGATGGCTGAGATTGTCCGTATGGAACTGCGGTTGGTAACACCTATTGTCGAATCCCAAGAAGCACATTATTATACCCTAGGCCCTAAATTCAGGGTTTCATGTCTCACCCGGCGCAACAACCCAGAAGACATCCATCTTCAGTTAGATTTGTTTTACGTGTGTTCACAGTCGGTTGAAACACAATTACTCGTACAAACTTTTTCACCTAAACCCATTCGACATTCAATTTCCTCTGCACGGTGTTGTAGTGCAACTTATGAAGTGACTTACTCGTCCGAACGATTCTCGTATGCGTTCAATTGATCCATGTACCCAGTGTGATGTTAGCATCATTTCATTAGCATCTGGTCATGACATTAAACTTTTTTTGCCAGGTTTAATTTGGTTATGAGTAATGTTAACACACCATTAAATACTGCTATAAATATTTCTATATGTCCTGCTGTTTCTATTAATTGAACTGACCTATAAAACAATGCAACGTATCTGGTACAAAGACATCATTAGCACATTTACCATCTGCCATTCACCTGTGAATGTTGCGCCAACAGTTTTACTACGTACCAAATTTATCGTTGACAGACGTCATGAAAGAAACAGTAGTGCTATAGAGTGTCTCACAAAACGTCTGCGAATTTTATGGTGGTTATTTATTGTCTAGTTTTCAGTTAAGTATGCTTCATTAACACAACCCCTACACAGTTATGATGTATATAGCGTATGTCATTAACCTGATTGACGTCTTTGATGGCTGTGCATAAGCGAGCTCATTTTAAAAATATAACACGTTTTTCTTTCCATGTGCTTCTATTGTTTTCCATATGAGAGCAGCACCATCTGTGATGTGCCGTTAGAATTCACGTCGTGTCAACTATTTTTGCTGATACATCAAGTCTTTCGTGTACCTACAGAAGTATAAATCAAGGGGTGTTTAGTCAGACGAATAAGATGACGAAACCTGCGGGCCTCCACGACCAATCCAACTATTTGCATAGCGCCTGTTCAATTACTATGTGTCTTGTGGACCGAAATGAGGTGTTGCAGCCACATGCTTAATGTGACCTGGAGAGGAAAGTCTTCCAATAGAAGTGGTATCGTGTTCTGTAGGAAATGCAGGTGGAAGTCGGCTGTTGAACGTCAATAGAGAAAAAATGGCCCAATTAGTTGGTCTTCGATAAGATCGCGCCACACGTGCGAGTCTCTGAAAAAATTGGGGGAGGAGCACAATAGCAGAAGGTTAATGGGAATATGTTCACCAGATAACTGCTTAACTGTTCAGATTTCTACACGTGTCGATTCAACGTTTTTCGCTCAAAAGAAGCCATTGAATTATCACCACCTAAAGTTTGACAGATATTCCGTATACATCTTCTATGTTTGTGTACTTTATCTTGAATTCGAAATGTGTTCGGTTCGAATCTTGGCAGCGTTATCAGTTTTGTAAACCCTGAAGTGGAACGTGTCTACGTCGGGCTTTGGATTAAGCGGGAACCTGTTTTTAAAGAGACTACGTTTATGATTCGATTACATTCCGTTAGTAACATTTAATTGCTAACTTTTATTAATCTGACACTTATATTAGAAGGAACATTCCTGTCACATTTCCTGCCTTTGAAAAACTACATGTGGTATATTATGAAAATGATTTTGAAGAAATGAGTTGCAGCCGAACAGAGATTTGAACCCAGGCGTTCCAAAATACGAAACAGTGCTAACCGCTCGAACAAAACGTCCAGTAGACGCCTTTGTTTGTGACTGAGGCGGGGCGGAAGGCTTTTGTTAGTATAATTTATGTTTCCGTTCCCGGTAAGTATTTGAAACTGGTTTTGAGGAAAATTTATTCTTTTTTAACATTTGATTTGTCCTGTTTGATAACTAAATTAAATAAATTAGGACGTGTACGCGTAGCGTGACAATTCTGTTGCGTTCGCATGAATTTGGCCGTTGGCCGAGAATTTGCCCTCAGTGGATTCGCGATCACCATTCGCCTCCAGAATGGGAACTGTGCCTAACAAAATGGCCACTCCGGTGAGCTACTGCTCGGCATACTAGCCCGGTATTGAGAAGGTCCCGGCTCCAATTCCTGCCTTCGCCACTAATAGTAAACCAGAATGGTTTGGTGATTCTATGTGATGTTATTACAAAACCCAGAGCGCAGAAAGGCATGCAGGGTTGCATATAAAGTGTCCGTTATCGTTGGTAGATTTCTACCAAAATTGAAATGGTTCTACAAGTTTTTAAAAACTTTTAAGTATCTAATTCAATTAAAATCCGTTTATCTATTCTGAAATTGTTACAAGCGTACGGACAGACGGACAAGGCGTTCTGTATAGATGAGAACTCTGTTAATGACCTCCTAATTGAATGTCCAGGAATTAATTTCCCGTTGATCAAGGCACGAAGCTCCTGTGATCACGCAAGGAAGTTGGAATTGGTTTTGTTCGCTGAGATACCATGATTGCTCCCCCCCTCCCACCAGTCATTATCAGTCTGATCTAATCACGAGCCGTGAGCGCCTTTGTCAGAACTTCTGTGTCTTTGCGCGAATTGAACAATGCCTACTTGTTTTGTTTAAATTCAAGAGTAAACTGTATATGAAGCAAGGACAATGCTTCTGTCTACGAGTGCTTCAAGATACTCTTTTGTGAACATAAATGTTTTTTTTTGTATATACGAGATCCAAAGTAACTACATTTATGCGAAGTGTTACAAAGGAACTTTATTCTGACAGTAAATCTATTTCTTTTTCTATTTGAGTCTATCCGTGGTGTGTGGAGGGAGAAGAAGACCAACTCTGTGTATAAGGAATTATATTATGGAGAGATACAATGTATTTGTTGTTACATAAAAGGTTACAAGTCACTATATATGCAAAGTATCATAGTAAACTGTATTCCGAAACAAATGAAAACAAAACAAAAATCAACTCTTTCCTAGGTTTGTATGTTAAGAAGCTTTGTTATTCGTTCCTTCCACAAAGATGGAACACAGATAGGAACAGATGATGGAGAAATGTTATACAGTTCACATTATAAACACTTGTCCGATATGTATTAACTGCTCTTATTTGTCTGTGCTCACGTAGGTGCCTTAAAATTGATTTCCCGATATGGGGGAAGTACACATGGGGGAAGGGTGTTGGACGGATGGTCTGGTGAAGTGAATACTAGGCCTTAGGAGAAGGATGTAGCACATAAACACGAACAGTTGATATGATATTTCAACGGGCCTTCATATTCTTCCTTGTATGGTATGTCCGACTTGGATACAGATACGGGAAATGTTGATTTTAGATGTATAAGGTGCGAACATTTAACAGGAAAAATATAATAAAATTTTTGTCTGAGGAATTTGGATTAGGAAGTGTTTAGCCCAGGGAATATAAAATTCAGAAAAATCAGTTAAATAATGACAAACCACAGCGAATATTCACGGGAAAGGCCTTTGATGGAAGCCAACGAGTGTGGAATCTCCATATAACGGTGGTCCTTGCCTGCAGGTTCACTCTTTACCGGTTACAATGATGTGGTAGCGCCGATGGCGACACAGAAATGTTATTTTCCACCGCCACTTGCGAACGTTGTTGTTTGAAAACATAATGGAACCTTTAATTTAATATTAATTTAATGTTGGGTCTCAGTTAATCTTCCACATAGAATTCCTGAATCATACCAACGTTCTCTCGAAAAAAACGTCACTGTTACTGGAAGTCTGCACACCGCCATGTTAATTACACGAAACTTAACAACACGTTTCAGTGTCATCTAATGGCATTTTGTTTATTTCAAGTTTAATACAAAATTTGTCTATTGAAACGTGACTTGTGGGCTTGCAGGCGTCATTCAACACCTGCATTTCCTAGCATCTTTATTACTGCCTGTCTACACGCGTCCGATGTAACGCTTTGAACTGTACATCCTGACTAGTTTAAAATAAACAGGAGTTATCCATCACCACAGATTCTTGGCAAGCTCTTTTATACAGTAACACAGATGGTTAGGTGCTTTATTGATAGTTGCTGTCCTGTTAATAGAATCCTTCCAATTCTTTACTCACTACAGACCTTTAGACACGGACATTGAGAAGGGCAGGAACTCTTTTGCAGCAGTCACCACGAGCTCCCATCTTGGATCAACCAATTTAAGAGTAGCAGTACATTTAAAAACTTCGTTTCCGGAAGTATTTTGTAAAATAAATTTAGGAAAATTCTGAAAATGATTGACTATGCTTAAACTTTCATTTAAACGCCTCCGTCTATGTAGAAAACCCTACGTAATTGACCACAGGCTTGTTCGATCTGTTTTATGCAGATTTGGTGCTGTATAACTTAACAATTTGATTCCGTCTACCGGCCTGTGTTCCATTAAAACTACTTAAAGTTCCTTCACATAGCTTGAGAAACGTATCAAATTACGTCAGTCGGAATTTCATGGTTATCACAAACCGCAATTATCCAGTCCAACTGTGTTATATAGACTAAATAGTTGCTACTTTGCTTTCTTGTGGCTGACAGAACTTCGCGAATTAAGCTCAGTTAAACCGGATGAGACAGCTGGCAAGAAAGTGAGTTAAGGAATTAGTGAGGTCTTGAACTACAAACGCTAACCCCATCGCCAAGAAAATGTCTGTGTGGATAACAGGAGATATATATCAAGCTGAAAGTGTCTGAGGCTTTCGAATCGCGAATTCAAAATTATACGTTACACTGAATTCTAACCGTTGCACAAATTACATGCATTATCTGGACGAATTTAGTAGTGTAGTTTGTACTTGTGCGTTGATTTCAGTCATGGGTATTAATAGTTGAAAATGTTCTAATCGATGGTGCCTGAACTTCCATTGTATGGAAATGTAATGACGTAGTCTGCCAAAGTCGGACACGAGCATTGAACTCAGGGAATCGTGGTTTATCAGTGCTGAGATGGACTTGGAAACATACAATACGATTCGTGGCTGGAGTTTTGAGAATATTTCTCGTTGTCTTCACGCCTAAAACTGCTTTACGAAAAATATATTTTGATAAATCCATCAATGCAGTTTTGCATATTTATTCCATCCAGTCTTCCTTTGATCACCGTAGTATGTCTCTTTGGCAAAGAGAAAGGAATTTCAAAAGTTGTAGTCTTTGGAGTACACTGACATTACAAGTTGTTATTCAGGTCACTTCACATAGGTCATTCTTGCATTAGTCTGATCTGTTGTCATTGGGTCGCAGTTGTGTTACAACAGTGACCATTGGATATTTATTCCATTAATGTGATCCGAGATCATTGTTTCTCAACAATGCTCAAACAATTAACTGCGTTCAAGAATGGTCCCAGGACACTTTCACCGTCATCAGAGGTCATTTTTGTACAAATACTTTTCGCTTTATTTCGTAAAAGTGTGTTCGAATAATTGGACCTGGGCATGAACGCTAGAGCGTGAGGGAAGACCCGAAAGTATTTCTGTTGTTTTGTGAAAAGAGACATTCCGCATTGAAATGTACTTTTAAACGAAGTGGAGTGTTGGTGGGCTTCAGGGACGAGGTCTGACAATCAATTAAGCGGACTAATAGTCTGTGTAAAACACCTGATGACTCGAGTTGGCCCACGTTCGATCACGTAGGTGAAAATAGTCTATTTAAAACGCATCTCTAAGTAGTAAATTACTTTATGTAAGCATTGGTCACATCACTGTAACAAGACACGCGAATTATTTCTTAGCGAACAGGGTGACCTTGACACAAATGTGACTCGGTTGGGGAGTGTCCCTGAGTCTGATTTTATTCTTGTAACAGCGTTACGTGATTGTTGTTGGGTTGCGTTGAAAATGGTAGGTACATCCTTCGGTTGACTGAGCAGTTTTATCGTCAGGAATTACTTCTTTTTGTGGTACCATTTAGTGATGCAATGTTGTGTTCGTCATTCACATGCATGGAACTTGAATTGTTAGGTCAGATAATGAACATTAAATTGTTCTTTAAATCGAAGCAGAGCGCTTCTAACATTTAATACACGTTACAACAAATTTATGGGTGTGAAAGGGTTTGTGTTGTTTAAGCGACTTTAAGAAGAAATGAAATGTGATACAAATGATGAAAGATACGTAGTCTGTCATCTCCAAGAACTGATATAAATGTGGAAAGTGGCAAATGATGAGAAATGATGATAGATATTATGTTTTAAATGTAACTGAAGAACTGAGGATCTAGAAACGGTGACCAAACATCTGAACAGGAGAAAGTCTGCACTAAAAATTCTGTCGGGAAACAGGCATACGACCAAGAGGAAAGAATTTTGCTCTGACCCGTCCGGATTGTTTCAAGAACCAGATCTTACGTTTAAAAAAAATAGATTGACACGTGGTGATTTCTTTAGTACATCCCGCAAAATATGTCGAAAGAGAACCCAAATATATGTCTGGGTGTATGTTTTCAGTATCCCGGAACTGGACATATAGAAAGGCTGTCATTTGAATAACCGTAAGATTTCCAGAGAAATGCAACGAGAATATAGAAAGGATATGAATTTAAAAAAAACCGTGATAGTAGGCCTATAAAATTGCCGGTGGAATTTATGTTTAACGTCAGAAGCGCGTGCTTTGAACTTGGCCACTCGCAAAAGACTTTTAAGAATACCGATATTGGAGTTTTATTCGTTAGTAGTGTGCATTCCCTGACGGAGACAGTAATATTTTCTACGTCACCTACTTCGTACCTATTTCTTGTTTCCACCAAGCGTGAAATATTATGATTTGATTGTTTTATATGAACTGTAGAGGGGAATAAGCAATACGTGAGATAAAATGGTGGTTGTTTTAGGCGGAGAGGAAATATATGGGTATAACTCGGTCATAGCCTGTTTAGATGTAAAATTTTGGTATTCTCTATGTAGAGCTCAAGAAGATAAGGAAATTCTGTCAGGATAGATGGCCTCCCGCCGGGATTCGGATAGGGTACCTCCTTAATAGTAGTTGGGAGACTTGATAGCTGTGCTAACCCACTTCTGTTCATGACATTTCCAATTTTTATTTTTATTGGCAGTTGTGTGACATTCTGACACAGCCACTGATTGCTATTGCGCCGTTGGCCCCACTGCAGTAATCTACCTTGAAACTCGTATAAACAAGTCAAATCACAATGTGTTGTTTACTTCCGACCGTAACTTATTTCATTACTGCAGTCACGGACGGATTACGAGCGAACCGCGGACTAGGGTATGGACTCGGTGCTGGTGGTGGCATGGCTCCTTGAGGAGTACGTAGCAAGACAATCCTGATGTTATTTCTTTTTCTTATTCTTCTTCTTTCGCATCTAGCTCTGTCTTCATGTCATCAGTGTTTATCCTTCCTATATTTCTTTCATCATCGCTTCATTTCAGTATCCGTAGCCTTCGTCATATTATTATTATTATTTGTTTTTTAAAAAAAAATCAATATATCCTACATGAATTGTGACAACTTTTCGAAACATGCTTGTCGTTTATACAACTTTTAGGAATTTATATCCCTTTAAACCTGTTTCTCGAATTATAATCATCAGTCTTCTACACAGGGGCACACTAGAATGATGTTCGCGAACACCACAGGGGTGTACAAATGTTACAAACAAGGCATGAGGCATCATATTTGGCACAAAAATCAGTGTCGATTAAAACTATTCTCGAAATTAAAATTCTAGTACGTTTTAATTCCTACAAACATTTGTCGTCATTGTATTTTCTCTCACTGTCATGATTATTATCTTCAATATTCTTCGATTTAAATATATTTTTTGAACCCTTATTCTACAGTTGTCTGTTTAATGTGAATTGGCATCGTTTACAGGCGCTAAAAAGTTTGTTTTACTTTTCTGTATTTTTAATTTCAAACATAATATGAGCTGAAAATGTGTTATTTGCGGGATAAGAACAGGAAAGCTTCATTGTATTACACCACCAGGTGGATGGTTGTAGGTAGTGACGGCGAAGCCACTGTTCATTGATTTTAATGGTCCATGGCGTAATGTTCGAACAGAAAAAATTCTTTATGGTAAGTTTTCAGTTTGCTTATACAATGACGCGTTATCAAGTATATGAGATGATAGCTTGTACACAAATTAAAATTCTGGATATTTATGTTTTGCAAAGAGGATTAGATTATGTTTTATTTTTTTTAGTGTTCTGTCTGACGACAGGTCCATATGAACAGGGTCCTTCCATCCTTTTCTCGGACTGGGCCCTGTTCATATACGTTCTTGGCAGATGATCCAGAAGTGGTTTGCCATTGCCTTCTTCTGTGTGTGAATGGAGTAATTGTTGGGATGCCACGGAGAAACCTAGACCACGGCCTTGCCCAACACAAATTATAAATTCGGGCACCGCCGGGAATCGAACCCGAGACCCCAGGATTACAAGGCCAGCGTTCTAACCGCTATTTATTTAATTTCCTCTCTACATTCGTTACTTTCATGATTCCTCCCTCTCTCGGTGTTACCTTCTTGTTTCTCCCTTACATTCTTTCAACACACGTATTCGAGTGAGTCAGGACTTTACACCATCCAAAGAGTGCTGAGATTTTCAAGAGGATATTCTGACCTATAGTTGTTTCACTTATGATTCCAGTCGTTTCCTGCGTTTCCATGGCACCAGGTCGTGCTATTTCTTTGTTTATTTTTTTTATTCCTTGGTAACGAAAAGGGGCGACAGAGACTTATAAAAGAAATGTTAAGTCTGACAAACAAGAACTTGAGTAGTATTTTGCTCGTGGACTTGTTTGTATTTTCAACTTATCCACTTCCACTGACGAGTTCCGCCAATTTGTGGTTCAGTACAAACTTTTCTCCTGTCTCAGAGTTTCTTTTAGCGTTTGAAAATGTCGACTTGCATAAGGACGTGGGTGAATTTGAGTCACGTAAACCTAAAAGTGTGATACGGGTAAGTTTTTATCGTCGTTCCTTATGCTGTCATTTAAAAGGACCCTGATGGTTTTAAGTCCTTAATTTGGGACTCATTCCACTGCGACCTCTGTTTCACCGTAAGCTTAGAAGATTGAATTAAGAATATCTATTTGATTAATACGGTTAGACCAATTTTTGACGTAAATACGTCTATATTTTAGGGTCAGTGTCATTCGGCAAAAAGTGGAACGAAAAAGTGAAAGGAAAAAGTGTAACTGCATTGTTATGTTACCTTGGAAACGTCATCTGTTTACTCGTCATTGTTGTTACCTATAAAACATTACATCACATCACATTACCTTACATTACAATACATTACCTTACCTTACCTTACATTACATTTCATTACATTCAGCTACCACAGACCCGTCTTAAGCGTAACTAATTCAAGTTAAATAAGCAAAGTCTTAATCAAACTTTACTCAAGTGTAAAGCATGTATGAGGGAAATATTTAGAATAAAGCCAATATATAAACTTCCTTTCCGTATAGACGTATTTACGTCAAATTCTCCGGAACCGTGGTTCCACTGACAACATTTTGATGTGCTATAAATCATGTCCTTATATTTATTTCACTAAGAGCAAATTATATTTGTGTAATGCTTGCTACGATTCAGTTCAAAAGCTTGTGTTTCCCGTCTGTTGTGTAAAAACATTAACCTCAAAATATGCATGACAGTAAACATTGCATGCTGTTGTGTATATGTGCGAAACTTTTTGTTATATTCTAAGGGAAGAAAATGATTGAGGATGTTTGAGAACACTGTCGAGAAGATGTATAAGGAGAGTAAGTAACAGGAGGTCGCATAAGGAGGATCTTCAAAATTTATACTCGCCTTCGTGTCTTATTAATGTGATCAAGTCAGGAATAATGAAAATGATTCATGCATATAATGTGCATGGGAATGGTGAGATTTACAATCACAATTTGTATTTCGGAAACCTGGAGGGTTGAAATCACTTTGGAGGACTGAATTCATCTGACTGAGGATGGGGTCCGTTGGAGGTCTCTTTTAAACACGGTGATAAAATGCTGGTCGATCTTTGTTTAGCTGGGCGACTGTTAGTTTTTCAACAATAAGAGTGTCCTATGGAGATACATAACGTGCGCACATGGTCAATTATAATGAATTGTCACTTTTTAACGATTGTGTTGTAGGACAGTGGTATTCAACCTGGGGTACGCTAAGACATCTTAGGGGGTACGTGAAATTAAAAAGAAAATGATACACTGAATAATGAGTAATGTAATTTATTTAATTTATTTTAAATGTGGATTTTATACTATGTATAACTTGAATTATACACCAACAACTTTGGGGGTACAAAGTTGAAGAGAAATTATATCTGGGGGTACGCGAACAAAAAAGATTGAATACTACTGTTATAGGACACCACAGCTAGTGACATATGGAGTGACTCTAAAATCACGATGCAGTGAAACTCCGGATAACCGGTAGAACAGCCAATAATCTTCCCGTTTATGCATGTAACAATTTACCCTGTTAATGGTGGTTAGAGTTGGTAAATAATACGAGATTTATGGTTCTCAGGGATTATATGTTTGGCGGCTCAGCATCACAAGTAATAATCGTGGGAAGAAAGAGGCTTGTCGTCAGGATTCTGTTGAAGGATGTCACCACAAGAAAGTTGCGAGTTGACGAACTGATGTCTTATAACGACGAAAAGAATTACATGTCGCGAACACTTTTTCGTCGCGATAGACTTGTCGTGAAATAATTCAATTATGCTGAATGTTTATTCTGGTTGTTTCAGTTCGTTATTAAATTTTGAATATTTATCATAAGCAAGCCAGAAGTTTTTCAAGCGAACAGTCGCATTCTGTTTTCACAGAGACTATGTTTCTCTAATATGAAATTTGTGAAATTTAGAGACGAACAGAAATGAGTTCGCATGGAAATATCACAAGCAACCCTTTTTCTTATCGATTAAAGTTTACAAAATTGCATGAAAATATTCATAATTTGGTTTTATTCCAAAATAAAATTACTATTCGCGCAAGTTAATCTTGATAGTTGCCTTCCTTACTGTGAAATACTTTGTTAAAACTGTTTCTCCTTGTGTTAGCCTTGTGTCACCGCACGCATTACTATGATCAATAGGTCAAAAGATCGGAGGAAATGTTTCCTTTCAGATCCATACAGAAACCTTTTTCGTCTCGACCTTCTTCCGCGTTCGTCGCCCACTTGGCCACCAAGATCACCTGTGTTATGAATCGGGGACACTCAGTCATTAGACAGGCTTCTATTGAGAGCTCTGTGTTGGAAGGTCGAAGTTCGAATGCCGACAGGGATTTTTCTTTGGGGCCGAGCGGCTGTGGGGACCACTTTGCCTCTTTCTCAGTCGGTACAAGTTTTTAGTACGTATGCTTTGGGGACACTTTACATATACTCGTACTTTCTACCACTTATTATTAGGATGATGAAATCAACATAGGATGAAGTGTATTATGCATTCAGCGGTTGTAAAACTTCTTATATTTGTATATATTTTTATTATTTTAACAGTGGCCGGTGCCCACAGAATATTGCAAGGCCACTGTCGTAAACTTTCAGAGTCATTATCATCATTGGAGAATCCTTAAAAACCTACAAGTTGTTCAAATAGTGAGAAATTTCCCAGTTTTTAGGCAACCCGGAGGTCTGCGAATATGCCTGATCGTTTTAGGTTTTACAACTAACATTTTGTAAGTATTTCTCGTTACCTTTCGCGCTACGTGTTCCCCCTTCTTATGATCACGATTATGATATTTGGTGAAAAATGCAGACTACGAAGTTGTATATTATGTAATATTCTTGATAGTTTTATAAGTTGATATAATTGCGTCATATTGTGAATTAAAATTTAATTATTCGTGTTTTTTCCGTCTAATCACAATTGTATATAAATAAAATTATACATAAGATATTAAAATATCATTTACATATTTGGTACAACTTTTTACTACATGTTTCGGTTATATTGAACGATCTTCAGGTGTAAAGTTAAATGTTAACATTATAATCTTATAAACTAAAACTTAATTACTGTTGTTGTGTAACTTCTGATGATGTTTACTTCCAAATTCATTGGAGTGAGGGTATATTTTGAAGTGATAGTGGTTTAACATTGGTCTGTAACGTAAATAATATAGCAGTATTACAAAATGCAGTCTCTTTTGTGTTACCTAAGAAACCGGTACACGAACTGAAGACAAATGATCCCCTTAACCATCCTAGACCAGTTTTTATGAGCTTTGATTATACAGTTTTGCAGCCTTCTGTGTAGTCAGTAATTGGCTGAGTCTGAGATTTGCTATTGCAATGTAGGGGTCGGCCCTAATTAGA